GCTTGAACTCTGGGCCTTGGTGCGTCCCTGAGATCTTCAGCTCAAGGCTAGTGCTCTACCACTTGAGCTACAGCACCACTTCTGGTTTTTGAGTGGTTAAATGGAGAGTCTCACAGGGACTTTCCTGCCCAGGCTGGCTTTGAACCCATCCTTAGATCTCAGCCTTCTGAGTAGCTAGGATTACAGGATTGAGCCACCACCGGAGCCCAGCTTATTTCCTCATTTCTGAAGCACTAACAAAGCAGAGTCAAAAGCTGAAGGTAGAGAGAAGAGAGTGTTAGGAATGGCCTGAGGGAAAGATATTCTAGTACCTTGTTTGTATCTGCTACACTTAAGAGTCTCTGAGATGACCTAGTTCTTAGTGCTGTCCACTTAAGTTACCAAGAAGGAAACAGTCTGGTGCTGGTGAGTCCCTGGCCTGAAAAAAAGGGAAATCTAGGAGCAGTGAACTCCCACAGTGTGCAAATTCTTCTTCTTTTTCGTTAGTTGTAGGACTTGAACTCAGGACCTGGACTGTCTCTGAGCTCTGTCACTCAAAGCTAGTGCTTTACCACTTTTGAGCCACAGCTCTACTTCTGGTTTTCTGGGGGTTCATTGGAGATAAGAGTCTCATGGAAAGGCTGGAAAGGTGGCTCAGTGGTAGAGTGCTTGCCTTGCATGCATGAGGCCCTGGGTTCGATTCCTCAGTACCACATAAGCAAAAAGAAGAAAGCTCAAGTGGTAGAGTGCTAGCCTTGAGCTGAAGAGCTGAGGGACAGCGCCCAGGCCCAGAGTTCAGGCCCCACGACCGGACCCAGAAAAAAAAAGAGTCTCATGGAAGCCACCCCTGTGCTGGTGGCTCATGCCTATCATCATCCTAGCTACTCAGGAGGCTGAGATCTGAGGATCAAGGTTCAAAATTCTGGGCAGGAAAGGCCACCAGACAGCTCCATGATTTCCCTGGGTGGTCTTTGCTTTTAGCAGTGGCATTCTGGGAGGGCAGTGTCTTCCAGGAGCAGGGGCTTTATCTCTGGAGATGGAGCTCACAATTACCATGCCTTTGCCACTGTCTGGTTTGCAGTTGGGTCATCATCGCTGCCACCGTGGTCACCATTGTCATCGTCTTTGACCCCCTGGGGGGAAACATGGCTCCATATTCCTCCTCTGGACCTGACCACCTGGATAGCAATGACTCAAGCCAGTTCTTTAATGGCCTCAAGACTGCAGCCAAGAGCGTGTGGGAGACGAGGATCAAGTTCATGTGCTGTTGCGTTGGCAAAGACGACCACACTCGAGTGGCGTTTTCGAGTACGGCAGAGCTTTTCTCAACCTACTTTTCAGTAAGCCGAGGGAGCCCGGTGTGGTCTTGTTCTTCTGTTTGAGTATGTGCCTCCCATGGAAATTCCACACCCTACACTGGGGGCAGGGGCAGGGGCTGGGCACTCTGGAAAGTTGGCTGAGTGCAGGGCTGCATTTTGTAGACCCTCTCACGTGCATTCTTTCTCCATCTCCTTTTCAGTAATCTGTGAAGTTTGTCTCATTCTAGTTTTCCCTTCCCTCGCTCTCTCCCTCTCTCCCCTCTCTTTTCCTTCCTTCCTTCCTTGCTTCCTTGCTTCCTTGCTTCCTTTCTTTTGGTCAGTCCTGGGGCTTGAACTCAGGGCCTAGGCACTGTCCCTGAGCCTCTTTTGCTCAAGGCTAGCACTCTGCACTCGAACCAGAGCACCACTTCTGTTTTTTTCTGTTTATGTGGTACTGAGGAATTGGACCCAGGGCTTCATGCATGCTAGGCAAGCATTCTACCACTAAACCACATTCCCAGCCCCCTTTTTTATTTTTTTAATGTTGGTACTGTGGAATTGAACTCATGGCCCCACACTCTGTCTTGGCTTTATGACTCGAGGCTAGTGCTCTAGTACTTGAGCCACAGCTCTACTTCCAACTTGGATCAAACCCAGGACATTGCAATTGCTAGGTAAGCGCTTTGCCACTGAGCTACATCCTAGCCCTGTCTAATTCCAACTTTTCTTTAGTGGTTAATTGAAATAAGAGTCTCACAGACTTTCTTGCCTGGG